TAAAAGCCTAATATGCAAATTGTCCCCTCGACCTGGAGTTCAACCAGGTGGTGGCGGCAGGCTGCCAGAGGAAGGGAGGCCCCGGCCGGCAGCCGGCAACTGCTAAGGATCCTACCTGTGTACAAATTTAGTGCACTGGGCCTCTAGTAAATAATGAAAAAACATAAAAGCACATATGTACATACGTTGAAATGATGGAACTTTTTTTTTTATATAAATAAATGGGGGATGGCAACGTAACCATGAAACGACGTACGTCAAATCTGACATAACCCGAGGACTGCCTGTATTCCTTAGAAAACCCCCAAGGATCTCCTTTCTGTTCTTTCCTCCGATACTCAGCCGAGGCACACGCGGGGAGGGTATGATGTTGGAGTGGGTATTTGCACCTCCCACCCCAGGCACATGCCACTGGCAGAGCTGACGAGAGGCTTCAGCCCACCTAGAGCCCTGCCTCTCACCCCTAGGGGTGATCCCTGTGCTCCAGCCCAGCTCACATCCTGGCTGTATTCCAAAAAGTCAAAGAAGTGGTTTTGCCACAGGGTGGGGTGGGCCTCCAGGTGCTGCAGAAACACTTCCATGCATCACAACTGTCTCACAGGCTTTGGCACACATTGGGGACCACTATTCTGACTAATATCGCCATAGATCTTGAACTTCATAAACATGTAATTGTACAGTACATACTTTTTTGTGTCCGTGTTCTTTGTGAGACACATAAATGTTGAGTGCAGCGGTTCTTTTTCATTACTATGTAGTATTCCATTATATGAATATTTCATAGTTTATGTACACCACTTTAGGTACCCGTTGGCCATTTGGATATCTTCTTTCAGTAAAATGCCTATTCGAATCTTTTGTTCCTCCCCTAACCTCCTTTTTAAAATGCTATTCTTATTGATTTGTAGGAACTCTTTATATATACTAAAGACAAGCCCTTTGTCAGTTATATGTGTTGCCAATATTTCCTACTTGCCTTTTTACTCTTTTAATGACTTATAATTTACAGGCTCAATATATCAGATTTTTCTTTTATGATTAAGGATTTTTGTCTACTCTTGAAGAAACTTTTGCCTACTCCAAGGTCATGAAGATATTCTATTTTTTCTTCAAAAATTAATAGTTTTAGCTTTTATATTTAGGCCTATGATCCATTTTCAATTAATTTTCTATGTAATTTAGGTTATGATCCATTTTTGCCATATAAACAACCAGTTATTTTAGCACTTTTTAAAAAAAAAACACCTGGCTGGTTTGGCTCAGTGGATAGAGCATCGGCCTGAGGACTGAAAGGTCCCAGGTTTGATTCTGGTCAAGGGCACGTACCCATGGCAGGCCCAAGCTTCAGTGGGGGGCATGCAGGAGGAAGCCAATCAATAATTCTCTCTCGTCATTGATGTTTCTATCTCTCTCTCACCCCCTCCCTTCCTCTCTGAAATCAATAAAAATATATTATAAATAAATAAATAAATAAATAAATAAATAAATAGACTGTGTTGCCCTCGCCAGTGTGGCTAGGTTGGTTGGAGCATCTTCCCGTACACCAAAAGGTCAGGGCACATACCCAGATTGCAGCTTCCATACTCGGTTGGGAGCCATTTGGGAGGCAACCGATCAATATTTCTCTCTCCCCCTTCTCCCTTTCTTGACTTTTTAAATCATTTTTTTTCTCCCTCTCTCTTTTTAAAAAAAATATATTTTATTGATTTTTTACAGAGAGGAAGAGAGAGGAATAGAGAGTTAGAAACATTGATCAGTTGCCTCCTGCACACTCCCTACTGGGTATGTACCCGAAACCAAGGTACATTGTCCTTGACCGGAATTGAACCTGGGGCCCTTGAGTCTGCAGGCTAACGCTCTATCCACTGAGCCAAACCGGTTAGGGTTTTTCTCCCTCTCTCTCTTGAGATATCATTTGGATTTTCCTGTTATTCTGTGTATGTGCTGAATTTCACTGATTGATTTTCAGATGGTAAACAACCTTGCATTCCTGGAAGAACACTTTAAATATATATATATATATATATATATATATATATATATATAGATTTCAGAGAGGAAGGGGGAGGGAGAGAGAGAGAAACATCAGTGATGAGAGAGAATCATTGATCAGCTGCTTCCTGCTCATCCCCCACTGGGGACCGAGCCCACAACTGGGGCATGTGTTCTGACCAGGAATCAAACTGTAACCTCCTGTTTATTGGGTCAACGCTCAACCACTGAGCCACACTGTCCAGGCAGAACACTTTTGTTATAAAGTACTAGAAGCCCGATGCACGAAATTCGTGCAAGTGTAGGCCTATCTTCTCCCGGCTGCCGGCACCGGCTTCCCTCGGGTACCCGGGACTCGGGCTTCCCTCACAGCCCCAACTTCGTCCAGAAGGACATTCGGTCTAATTAGCATATTATGCTTTTATTATTATAGATTATTTTTAAGATATTTTGCTTATTCAACTTGATAATATTTTGTTTGTGATTTTTGCATTTATGTTCACAGAGAGATATTAACCTGCATTTTTCATTTCTTGTAATGTTTGTGATAAGCTTTTTGGTAAGATATACATAACATACAATTTACCATTTTAATCTTTTTTTGTTCTGTTAATTCTCACCTGAGGGTATTTTTCCCATTGATTTTTAGAGAGAGTAGAAGGGAGGCGTTGAGAGAGAGAGAGAGAGACATTGATGTGAGAGAGACATATCATTTGGTTGTCTCCTGCACTGGCCTGACCTGCAACCCAGGGATGTCAAGGATGGACCACAAATCTAATTTCAAAATAAACTGATGAACAGGGAGGATCCAAAGACATGGAAGCATGGAACAGAATGTGGAATCTCAGAGGGAAGGTGGGGGAGGTAATCAACCAAAGATATAACTCATGGAGGGATAGAGAGATAGAAACATTGATGAGAGGAACATCTGTTGCCTCCTGCACATACCCCTACTGGGGATTGAGCCCGCAATGACTGGGAATCGAACCAGCGACTTCATGGTTCCTGGGTCGACGCTCAACCGCTGAGCTCCAGCTCCCAGACTCTCGGTGCTCCTCCATCACTCTCCTCAGCTGCTGCGCACAACGACCCCGCGGCTGGCCACTGCCCGCGCGCCCCCGCAGCTGGGTCCCGGCGTACTCGCCCCTAGAACCGGCCAAGTGGAGATACTATCAGCTGATGGAGACGCTCTTCCCTCGCTGCCAAGGAGTCACCTGGAGTCGGGCGTGGCTCCCCGCCCCCCCCCCAGCCTTGTCTTTGATTGGGTATCAGGTTTATCGTGCGCGACGCCATTGGCTGCAACGCCTGTCGCTTCCTGTGTCCAGACCTCAGCTTTTCAGGGGAATCGCGGAACTGAGAGGGCCCGGAACCAGCGACGGCGTGGGCGCTGGGGTGCGGGGCTCGGGCCGTGCGGCGCAGAGGTCTCGCGCCACGTCAGCCCCGCCCCCAGGCTGGCCGCTCGCCGCCGCCGTTTGGGTCTGCGCCTGCCGAGGGGCTCGCGTGGTCTGCGCGTGCGCACTAGCCCATTGCGCCCCCCACCCCGGTCGGTGGGTGGGGCGGCGGGCTAGTGGGCGGAGTGGGAGACTAGCTGGGGGGTGGGAGGTAGGGGGTAGGGGGGGAGGTAATGGGGAGCTGGGGAGGGAGGGCAAGGACTAATGTCTGTGGAGAAAGGGGTTCCGTTTGGATTTCCGCTCTGGGACCCGAGGGAGCAGCGGAGAACGCCGCACTGGGAGGCGAGGGGGCGCGGCAAGACCCGCGTCCTGGGCAGCAAAGGCCAGGCCCCGGCCCGCGTGTGTTTCTTACCGGAGCTGGGAAACAGAGGGTCACCGGTGCGAGAAAAAATGTGGGTCCCCTGGTACGGGCTCATCGTGATTGGGAGGAAAATGGAGCTTCTGGGTAGAAACAAGCCAAAGCCTAGGAAGCCGGAGCCTAAGACGAAGTTCCCGGGACTGGAAGACGAGGAAACGGTCCGGAAAGCGAGGTCGGGCCTGAGTCAGGAAAGGAACGTGCGGCTCCTGCACCTGGTCGCCAGCGTGTTACACTCTTCAGCGGGTTTTGTAAAGGAGAGCCCGAAGGAAGCGTGGGCGAAGCCAGAAGTCAGCCGCAAAACCAGGGTTGACGTTGGGAGCGCGGGGACTCCCACGGGGTCGAGGAGGCCGTCTGGGCTGAAAGAGACACGGAGGTTCCCCGGGGTGAGGACCAGCAGAGAGGACATGAGATCCCGAGGGTACAAACCAGGGCGGGATGAGGAGAAGTTGAGCATCAGTGGAGGGAAGCTGAGGTTGAACGAAGAGAAGAGGCGATCCAGAGGGGAGAAGATGTGGTCTGGTGGGGAGGATGTGAACGGTTCAGGAAGAGGGAGCACAAGCGAAGACAAAACGGAGATAGTGGTCGTGAAAGAGATACTGGCGCTGAGATAGAAATTCCTTTTCAACGGGTGGAAGGCGAGGAGCCTGAGGACGGGGTGGAAGTTGAGGAGGATGTCTTGGTGGAGTGAATGATATTACGGATGAATCTGTTCCTATGGAAAAGAAAGAGGCTATAGAGGAAGTTACAGGTGAATGAGGCAGATGAAGGATTGGAGCTAAAGAAGGGAAGAGAAGCAGTTAGAGGAAGTATTGCAAGTCAGTGAGGAGAAATTGTTGACCCTGAAAGAGTAAATATGAGAGAGGGAAGGAGGCATCTAAGCCTAAGACAGCGAGAATGAAGAGCTCCCGGGGTTGAAGGCAGAGACCAAGGCCAAAGGAAACAAGAGTGGTGAAGGAGATGGGAACATTTTGAGGAGAAAGAAAATATTTGAAAATGTGTTAATATGTAAAGAAAAATTGGATATTAGTTTCTTGGAGAAGAGCTGTAAACCAAGGAGCTTGTAGAGAAATATCTGAGAAATGGATTTAGGATGGGCTATAAGGATTTGGTTTGCATAGTAAGAATGCAGTGAGAAAAACGAAAAATTACAGCTCGATAAAGGATAAATAATGAACATTATTGGAGGAACATAAATGAACGTTATGGAGGAAGATACAGGCCAGAGCAAACAAAGAAAATTTCTGAATGAGGATCCTAAAGATGGACGAGGGACTCTACAGAGACAAAAGCAAGAAAAGAGAGAGATAAGAAAATAAACAAATGAAGAAAAAAAGTAAGAAGCCAAATCTCATAATAGTGATTATGTGTGATTAATGTCATTTCGTTCACTGTTTCTGTGCCCTCCTCTCCCATGTAGCCAATTTTATAATGTAATGGAACAGGCCTCTCACAGGGCCTGTATATCTGGACCAAGCCCATTCTCATTGGTCTTCCCTGTCATTATTCCCCACTATCCTATAATTTCCAAGTTGTTGCTGTTTATAAACGCAGTTTTGAATAATTGCTGGGCTCCACTATTTTAATCACTTCACCATGATCGCCATTTCCACAGGTTTCCCTCACCTCCACATCAAATTTGAATTGCTCATATTGATTTGAAGTTGTCTCAATTTGTATTGTTTCATCTTTGATTTTTAATTATTCACATAATCACATGGACTTTTCCCCTTGTGTTTGTGTCCTTTGGGACTTTTTAAAAAAAAACTATTTTTTTATTGATATCAGAGAGGAAGGGAGAGGGAAAGGAAGATAGAAACATCAATGATGAGAGATAACCATTGATCAGCTGCCTCCTGCACACCCCACACTAGGAATCAAATCTGCACCGTAATCCAGGCATGTGCCCTGACCAGGAATTGAACCATGACTTCCTGGTTCATAGGTCGAGGCTCAACCACTGAGCTATGCTGGCCGGGCCTTTGGGACCTTTTTAAATGTCTTGCCCTGACCAGTTTGGCTCTCCCTTCCTCTCTGTAAAAAATCAATAAAAATATGCTGAAAAATAAAATAAAAAATAAATGTCTTCCACATGCCACCCACTGTCTACTCTCATTCCAGGGAAGAGAGAAGACTCCCTGAGTGCCCACTGTCAAGACATCAATGTCAAGATTTAGGCTCTTACATCCTGTTGTCTCTTGGATAGGACAACAATCATGGATAGTTCGGATGAAAGGAATACGTAACCCATTTTTCTCCAGGTATTTTTAAAAGTCTGTAAAATATCTAAGGAGTAGAAACTTCATATAACATAAACACAAGTATCATAATACAAATTTATAATAGCCTCATGGTTTTTAATTGTTAAGTTTCCTACATGCCCTTTACTAATTTTCCCCAGTTTCCAAAAGATATGTAAACCCCATGCAATATTTTCATTTATGTGGTCAAACCTAACAGATAATGTATCAATTCAGTTTTGTCCACTGGAATTTTCTTTTTTGGAGTCCTTCATCCTTTGGGTTTAATGTAGGGTAGTTGTGTCCTAGGCTTGCTCCATAGCTGCTTTCCTGGGCTTCTTAAGACTTCTCTTGTGGGGAGACCGGTAGGGAGGTGGAAGAAGGTATAGCGGGGATAAATGGTGGTGGAAAAACAAAACAAAATAAAATTTAAAAATAATTTAAAAAATCACCCTTGCCAGTTTGGCTCAGTGGCCTGCAGACTGAAGCGTCCCTGGTTAGATTCAGGTCAAGGGCTTATACCTTGGTTGCAGGCTCCTACCGGGTCTGGGCTCATGCGGGAGGCAACCAATCGATGTGTTTCTCTCACATCGATATTTCTCTCTGTCTTTCCCTCTCTCTAAAAAAAAATAAATAAATGGAAAAATATCCTCAGGTGAGGATTAAAAAATAGTAATAAAAAGTAAAAAAAATAAAAAAAATAAAAGTAAGCTATAAAAAAAATTCTCTCTGTTCTGTGTTGAATCTCCTACTGCCTGGATCTTAAACCTTCTTCCTCTTTCTTGTTTTACAGGATCTTTTTGGTCAACCATCTCATCTAATAGCTTCCAGAGAAAGTGACCATAGGAGGTAAACTTTGTGACACCTTATCTGTCTGAAAATGTTGATTCTTTGCTCATAGTTTATTGATAGTTTAGCTGGGTATGGGATTCTAGGTTAGAAATACTTTTCCCTTGGAATTTTCTCTTTCTCTGTAGCACTCATCACTCTCTGACTCAGGGTTTTCCTCCTGTAGTTTATTATCTATCTCTTCTTCACTAGAATGTAAGCTCCATGAGGGAATCAGTGTATGTCTGCTGGGTTACCTGGTTTAGTCGCTGTCAAACAAACATATAGTAGGCACTCAGATATATTTGTGGTATGAAACAATCCGTCAGATTCAGTGATTTTACCTGGCTCAATACTATTAAACACCTATTGAGGAATTGCTGTAATAATTTACCCTGTTCTTAGATTATCTCAAACTTTTTGAAGCCTCAAATGCCTAAAAAGTCTCTATTCCAGCCCTAGCTGGTTTGGCTCAATGGATAGAGCGTTAGCCTGCAGACCAAAGGGTCCCAAGTTCGATTCCAGTCAAGGGCATGTACCTCAGTTGCAGGCCAGAGCCCTGGTCAGGGCTCTTGGGCTCTTGCAGGAGGCAACCAAAGCCAACCAACTTGATATTTCTCTTTGTCTTTCCCTTTTCTTTCACTCTCTCTAAAAATCAATGGAAAAATATCCTCGGGTGAGGATTAAAAAAAAAGTCTCTATTCCATACCTGAGGTTTGTGTAGGTACAGAATTTTCCCTCAGCAGTTTGAAGGCATGCCCCTTTGTTTTGTCCCTTCAAGCATGGCCATTGAGAGTCCAGATCTATTTTTATGCTTGAGCTATTGTACATGACCAGGAGTTCTGTGTATGTGGCCTGTTTTCTTCTACTTGTCTCCATATTTCTGTTCATTTATTTATTTTATTTTATTTTAAATATGTTTTTATTGATTTCATAGAGGAAGGGAGAGAGAGAAATATCAATGATGAAAGAGAATCATTGATGGGTTGCCTCCTGCATACCCCCTATTGGGGATCGAGCCTGCAACCAGGCATGTGCCCCGACTGGGAATCAAACCCTGACCTTTTGGTTCATAGGTCGATGCTCACCCACTGAGCCACCACGGCCGGGCTGCTTATTTACTGATGAGAAGTTTATAGCTTGTGCTTTCTTCCATTCTCGAGGAACTCTAATCCCATAGTTGGACAATAAAGTAGAGATATTGGGTATGGGCAGAGTTGGAAAGATAAGCTACAGAAGGCTCAACTCTCGGAGTAGGAGCTTTTTGGCAAATGATGATAGCTAACATTTACTGAATTTATAATAATCAGAATAATTTCACAGGCATTATGCTAAGCACTGTACATGTTCTCTATCATGTAAGCTGTCCAACAACTCTGAGGTAGGAACTCTTACTCTATTAACTGTCCCAACTAGAAACTGCAAGGGCCAGGCTTGAGCCCAAGCAGCCTGACCCCAGAGCCATACACTGCTAGATGACCACCTCGATTTTATAACCTGCCAAAGCCAGGGCTCTGAGCCTACCCGGGGGTCAGGGAATGAGGCTGTGCAACAACCCTCCCATTCATTCAGTGAATGCTTGTTGAATGAGTGCTTCAGTGGCAAGTTTTTAGGACCATAAATGCCAAAAAACAATGATGTTTATTTTTCCCCAGATCTCTGCCTTCCGAGATCATCCACTCCTAGCCTCCTCTGGTGGGGTTCTCTGAGCACCGAGAACTTGTTGCCTCTCTTAGAAGAGGCCTGCACATGCATGAGGCCAAGATGGACACTTTTCTGTTGTGTGGGTCTCAGATTGCACTGCACAGTATATACATTATGAACCAAACAATCAGACTTTTTCTTTGGCTGCCTTACATTTTCTCTTGGGATAACAGATGCATTTCACTGAAGCTGCAGAAAGAAAAAGTGAAGATCAAGAACCTGTGGGAAATGGCAGCCACCTTGTAAGTATAGATATTTTCCCTCACCTAGGCAGCTAGTACTTTATCATATCCCTTTTGACTAGAATTAACCAAAATGCACACAGTTCAGAGAATTGAGGGCTCCTGAGTGATTTTTTAACATTTTTTAAAATATATTTTTATTGATTTTTACAGAGAGGAAGGGAGAGGGATAGAGAGTTAGAAACATTGATGGGAGAGAAACATCGATCAGCTGCCTCCTGCACACCTCCCACTGGGGATGTGCCCGCAACCAAGGTACATGCCCTTGACCGGAATCGAACCTGGGACCCTTGAGTCCGCAGGCCGATGCTCTATCCACTGAGCCAAACTGGTCAGGGCCTGAGTGATTTTTTAACATATTTTTATTATCCTATTTTTTCTTTGCACGTTCTCCCAAATCCCTGTTTCTTGCAACAGGATGTGTTTAAAGTGACATTATTGTTTGGTTCTATTAAAATGTCCTCTTAGTCTGTCCCAGTCATTCATTCAGCAAATACTGAACATGCACTATGTGCCAGTTGGGAAGGCAGCCAAAGTGTAGGGCTAGGCCTTGCCCTTGGCCTCCTTTCTCATGTTGAGTCAGATGTCTCAACAAGTAGATCACCATGCATTGTGAGATGGGTTAGCAGGGAGCTATGTACCAGGTATGGTGGGAACCACAGAGAAGGGAAGGCCCGACCCCAGGGGGGCTAGTCAGGGAGGTGATCAGAGAAGGCTTTGAGGTGGAGATAACCATTTTAGGCTGGACTTAAAAGGGTGAGAAGGTAACAATGGGTGAGAAAAGGACACATAAACATTCTAAGCAGAAAGAATAGTGTTGCCAAGGTACAGTGACCAGAACCTGCATGGCTCATTCAGGAAAAGGTAAAGAGGGTATTCTAGAGACTGGTAGGATGTGAGCTTGGGCAGAGCCTAGGGACAGCCTTGATACAGGATTAAGTTAGCCTTTGTTCTGTAGGTACAGGGAGAATGACAGCATTTATGTAAAGCATCAGATCTTTGCTTTACATAAAGTTCCAAGCCGAGAGATCTAAATCAACTGGGTACAGCGTGGGAGTGGGTCAGAGGGGGTCACTGAGTGGTGCTCAGTAAATCAGGAGGTGCAATTATTAGCTCATAATGAATAGGGTAGAGAGGATGAGGCTATGAACTAAGGCAGACAAATGGAAATGAAGAGAAGATAGATTGGAGAGGGTTTTAGATGTCCTATTTAGCAGGATTTCCTGACTGTGAATGGATGGTGAGGAGGGAGGCACCAAGCTTAGAGATAATAGTAGTTGCTCTCTATCTTCAACCTTACTCTGCAGTTAGGCGCTTTGCACGCAGTATATCATTTAATCCCATAATAGCCTTATGGGAGGAGTTATATTATTATCCAAATTTTATAGATGAGGAAGTTGGAGCCCAGAGTGGTCAATCAAAGTGACAAGGCAGGTATGTTGTGATGGTAGTCAGGATAAGAACCCAAGGGAATCAGCACCCTTAGCCGCTACTCAGTAGCTTCTGCAGCTGACTGGATTTCAGTGCCAAGTGATGGGGAGGTGAAGTGACCACCCTGAGAAGCAGTTAACGAATAGCAGATTCAGGCCTGGATCCCTCTGGAAGCACCTACTACTTCCCAGAGTTCACACACAGGCTGCCTGGGTGCCATCAGACTACAGATGTGTTGTGTGTGGTCCATAGAGTTGTTTTTTTCTTTTTTCTTTCTTTTTTTTTTAGAGAGGAAGGAAGGAAGGAAGGAGGAGAGGGGGTGGGGGTGGGGGATAGAGAGAGAGAGAGAAATTGATCAGCTGCCTCCTGCATGCCCCCTACTGGGGATTGAGCCTGCAACCTAGGCATGTGCCCTGATCAGGAATCAAACCAGTGACCTTTTGGTACATAAGATGATAGATATTCAACTAACTGAGCCAAACCAGTAAGGGTTGTTTTTTTTCCTTTTTAAATTACAATTGATATTCAATATTATTTCATACTAGAGGCCCGATGCATGAAATTCGTGCAAGAGTAGGCCTTCCTTCCCCCGGCTGGCACTGGCTTCCCTCTGGCACCTGGGACCCAGGCTTCCCTCACAGCCCCAGCGTCATCCTGAAGGTTGTCTGAAAGGACGTCTGCTCTAATTAGCATATTATGCTTTTATTATTATAGATTAGTTTCAGGTGTACATGGCCCATAGAAAATTTTAAACAGTTTTTAGAATTAATTGCTAACATTTAAACATCTACAAATTCACATTAAAGCCTGGGTTTCTGGCTTTCTTAAAAAGCAAGGAGATCTGGCCATACCAGCCCCATATTGCAACCCTTGTTGCCTCTCCGGGTTTCCTACAGCGGGGACCTGTGCTCCCAGCTGGACAGAGCCTGCCAGCATGCCTAGGGTCCCCGCCCACCTCCACAGGTCCCCGAGTTTGCATCTCTTGGTGACAAGCTGGTCCAGTTGATGCCAAGCTGTGCTTGTGCATTTAATCTCGTGTCAAGCCCAGGCCTCTACTGATGGCTAAAAGAAGTGTTTTTTTTTAAGTATATTTTTATTGAGTTCAGAGAGGTAGGGAGAGGGAGAGAGAGATAGAAACATCAATGATGAGAGAGAATCATTGATCGGCTGCCTCCTGCATGGCCCCCCCGCCCCCATTGGGGATCGAGCCCACAACCCGGGCATGTGCCCTTGGCTGGAATCAAACCTGGGACCATTCAGTCCGCAGGCCAACACTCTATCCACTGCCAAACCAGCTAGGGCTAAATACTCTTTTTGAGCTTAGGGAATGCAGTATAAGATAAAAACCGTGTGTTTTGTTTTGTTTGTCTTTTTCTAAATGCTGTGGGAATTGAGAAAAACTACATACCTACCCATGCTTGAGTGCCCACAGGGAGCAGGCTTATGTGCGGTAGTGCAGGACAAAGGTGAATGTCTTAGTTCCTGAAACCAGCACCGATTAAAATGAACTATCAGTCTTACCTTGGAAAATGGCAAAAGTAGTGGCAGCTGTACAAATTATGCTGTGATGTTTTTCTGTTTAATTTGTTTTGTAATAAGTCATTGGCTTGAATTTTGAGCTGTGTACTTTGGGTGTATTATAAGGAAGCTTTTAGGGAAAATACGAGTGCATGTGTGTGTGTGTGTGTGTGTGTGTGTGTGTGTGTGTACTATAGCTTATATAGCTTGAAATTTTCTGCAGAAATTCCGTTTCAGAACATTTTTTAAAAAGTTTTGTGATTTAGCCCTAACTGGTTTGGCTCAGTGGATAAAGCATCGGCCTGCGGACTGAAGGGTTCCAGGTTCGATTCCGGTCAAGGGCACGTACCTTGGTTGCGGGCACATCCCCAGTGGGGAGTGTGCAGGAGGCAGCTGATTGATGTTTCTCTCTCATTGATGTTTCTAACTCTCTATCCCTCTCCTTTCCTCTGTGTAAAAAATCAATAAAATATATTTTAAAAATAAATTTAAAAAAAGTTTTGTGATTTATCAAATGTTGAAAACCTGTTTCTGTACCATTAAGTTAAAATGTGAGGCACAGGATGGGAACTAGGTATTTGTTCATATTAAATATTTTGTTACATTTAACACGTAACAGTCCCCCATGAGTGGCAGTGGTGGTCAGGTTGGCTAAATAACGGAATTTATGCTTGTGTAAATTTGTTTGAAATTTATAAATTGCATTTAGAGACACAGGTTCCAACAGGTGTAAGAGATAGAGATGATGCCCTGGCCAGTGTGGCTTAGTTGGTTGTAGTGTCATCCTGTACACTGAAAGGTCGTGGGTTCAGTTCCTTGTCAGGACACATACCTAGGTTGTGAGAGGCAACCAATCGATGTTTCTCTCCCACATCAATGTTTCCCTCTCTCTCTTTCCCTTACCCTCTCTCTAAAAAATTAATAAAAAACAACAACACATATCCTCAGGTGAGGGGAAGGAAGGAAGGAAGGAAGGAAGGAAGGAAGGAAGGAAGGAAGGAAGGAAGGAAGGGAGGGAGGGAGGGAAGGAGGGAGGGTGGGTGAGCTTCAGGAGTTTGACTCTTACTCTGGGTTCTTGTGTGACAACAGTTTCCCATCATGCCTGGCCCCTGATTTAGGAGCTGGAGGAAAGTGGTGGCTGCTGCTGGGCACAAATTTCTTAGAAGGAAGGAAGGGAGGAAGGGAGGGAGGGAGGGAGGGAGGAAGGAAGGGAGGGAAGGAGGGAGGGACGGAGGGAGGGTGGGTGAGCTTCAGGAGTTTGACTCTTACTCTGGGTTCTTGTGTGACAACAGTTTCCCATCACGCCTGGCCCCTGATTTAGGAGCTGGAGGAAAGTGGTGGCTGCTGCTGGGCACAAATTTCTTAGAAGCCACTGGGCACTATTATGGGGTGGCCACTCGTCTCAGAAGTTCGCTGTCCACCTTGCAAGAGTGTTCATCCTGTCAGATCACACTGACCCAACTCTCAAGAGGCCAGCCCTGCCCGCTTTTTCCTGGGAGTTAGAAATAATTGTATAAGGTTCGCATTGCAGAGCCATTGCTACTTAGAATACATGGGCTTGCGAGGCCACGCTCTGCTGCTGCTTGGACTCTGACCCTTGCCCAGCACATTCTCCTTCCTCCTCCTCCTCCTCCTCAGAGACGCCCCACCCCCGATGTGCATGCCTAGGGTGGGACCGGACGTGTGTCGTGGCTGGTTCTGTTCGTGTCTGTATTGCTCAGAATCCACTGTTTCTTATTGATATATAGACAAATGCCTAATACTACGTGATCAGAACCGTGCTGAGAGCCAGGGACACAACAGTCAGGTGCCCTGCCCTGAGGACAAGAGGAGCGTGCAGGGACTGATTTGTGAACAAGGTACACTTCGTTACAGTACATTAACAACTGGTATTTTATCTCAGTCACACTGTAATTTTATTTTTGTGGTGTGGCCCAAGAAGATCCAGCCAAGTTCGTGGTAAAATTCTACTTATTCACTTAACAGATATTTAGTAAGCACCTGCTATTTGCCAGGCACTATTCCAGATGTCAGGATTTTAACAGAGAACAAACTGACAAATCTCCCTGATCTCTTGAAGTTTATGCTATTGTGGAAGGAGGCAGAAAAGTGAGGATGATATGTAATGTGAGCTAAGAATTTTGAAGGAAAGGCAAGCAGGGCGAGGAAGAGGGTATGGTGGTGTGCGCGTGCCCTTTTAAGTGGGGGAGTTGGGGAGGGCCTTTCTGATGAGGTGACAAAGCAGGGCCCACAGGAGGTGAGGGAGAGGCAGCTGTTTGGAGGAAGTCCTTTCCAGGCAGGAAGGCAGCAGGGACAGAGCCCGAGTGGCAGGTGTGCCTGGCCTGTTGGAGGAATAGGAAGTCACTAAATGAACATCTGCGCTCCTCATTCTCCTTGTCGGCAAGTCCATGTTGGGAGGAGAAATGAAATCATTTATGTGGAAATATTTATGTAAACCATCAAGCATGGTAAAAAGTTGACTTCATCACGTATTTGTAGAGTGTCTAAATCATCACGGATCATAATGATTATATTACAATTCTGTCCTTTCATTTTTTTTATGATCGAGGTGAAATTCACAAAACATATAATTAACCATTTTAAAGTGTACAATCCAGTGGCATTTAGTGCATTCACACTGTTGTGCAACCACCACCTCTGTCTAGTTTCCAAACTTTTCATCACCCGGCCCTTTTATTTTTAATATTAGTTTGTGTTGCTGCTCTTGAGAAAGGGTTCCCCGCCATATCTGACTTTGCCCTTTCTGTTTCTGGCTGGCCTTCCCCAGTTCCTATGATTCATCCATGTGCTTATTCAACAGATAATTATCAAGCATTTACTGTGCAATAGGCACCAGGTTGGGTAGGTACTGGGAATAAAATGCTGACAGAGGACATACTAGTACAGGTCCCCACATAATCTAGTGAGGGATTTAGCCACTGAATATATCATTGCCAGAAAATTGATTTAAATTATGATAAATGCTTATAGAAAAAATGCTTTGAAAATTGTGTGTAAAGCTAATAGAAGTGGAGAAGCCACTAGCTTTTAAAGCTCAGAATAACATGATTACATATTTTTTATAATTTGCTCGTAGTTCAGAGACACTCAGGAAAGTGACCTGGATAATGTGAAGGCAGGAGGTAGGAAGGCAGGCGAAGTTATTTCATTCATTTCCTCCTGATGACAGCCCTTTGAGGTACGCAAGGACAGATGTTCTTACCGTCCCTCCCATGTTCTAGATGTGGACACTGAGACTTACAAGGTCGTGCCTTGCCTGAGATCACCTGGTGGGGCTTATCACTAATACTTCACTTTAGCCCTCTGTCTGGTAAAGCTGAAAAGCACTGTGTCCAATAGGGGGCAGTGGCACACCTGTTTGGAAGACTCGCACATGTGTACCTCAGGTTTGTCTGCAGCCACCCAGCCCACAAGGTGAACTCCCAGCTTTCCAGGAGAGGGCACTGCGAGGCTGGCCTCAGAGTCACCTCACAGGACCTCTTGGGTCCTGCCTCCTCCCTCCCCCCTCCCATCCGACAGAGACTCATGACCCAGCAAGCTCTCAGCTCCCTTGGGCCTCTTCTCCGTATTGGGTGATTGTTTCTTAATCACGCTGTGGAGTAACAAATCAGGGCTGGTAGCCCAAGTCAGCTCAAGCGATGAGCTGGTGATCACCAAAACATAGGTGCGGCCCAGGGCGGGGAGCTACAAAAGCTGCTAGCGTGCGCCTCACGCTTGCGGCCACCTGGTGCCGCCGCTGTGGCCGTGCTGCACGTCGGTCATGTAGGCGCAATTGTCAGGCTTCTCTAGGCAGGATGACCTGGCAGCGTTTCCACCCCACCCACAGCTAGTTTCGCTTTCCTAATGTCGTTAAAAGTGCCTTCTAACTGAAGTAGGGTGGTTGAACAGGTTCCAACATTTTACTTAATTTTTTAAAAAATTTATTTCAGGCAGGAAGGGAGAGGGAGAGAGAGAGATGGAAACATCAATGATGAGAAAGAATCATTGATTGGCTGCCTTCTGCACGCCCCCCATTGAGGATTGAGCCCGCAACCCAGGCATGTGCCCTTGACTGGAATCGAACCCAGCCCCTTCAGTCCATAGGCTGACACTCTATCCACTGAGCCAAGCCAGCTAGGACAGTGGTCGGCAAACTGCGGCTCAGCAAACCGCGGCTCACGAGCCACATGCGGCTCTTTGGCCCCTTGAGTGTGGCTCTTCCACAAAATACCGACTTCTGCACATGGGCCACGAAGTTTCAATCGCACTTACATGCGCGCCCGCATGTGGTATTTTGTGGAAGAGCCACACTCAAGGGGCCAAAGAGCCGCATGTGGCTCGAGAGCCGCAGTTTGCCGACCATGGAGCTAGGACTTACTTAATTTTTTTATGTGATCAGTTGTTGAAGATTTCTTCCTTCTAGTGAGTCGCTTTCGTTTCCTCTCAGGGTGAGGCCCAGAACTGGCTTCTTTGGCATTTGCCCAAAGTCCAGGTTCTAATAGCTCTTGGACTGTGGTTTAATTTTAACCAGAAACTCTTCTTTTGGAATAATTACTTTTTAATCTGAAAAGAGCCAGTTTGATCAGAGCAATAACACCTCCTGCCTGAATCAGTAGACGAAGTTTTGTCTATTGCTGACATATTCTTTTTATTTATTTATTTAAATATATTTTTATTGATTTCAGAGTAGAAGGGAGAGGGAGAGAGAAATAGAAACATCAATGATGAGAGAGAATCATGTTTGGCTGCCTCCTGCACAATCGGGGATCGTCAAGCCTGCAATTTAGGCATGTGCCCTGACTGGGAATCGAACTGTGACCTCCTGGTTCATAGGTCGATGCTCAACCACTGAGCCACCTCGGCTGGGTATGACATATCCTTTTTAAAAGGGGAGGCTGATTTGGTGGGAAAACTGAAAATTGTGGATAGGCCCATTTGGAGGCCTGTTTGAACATCTGCTTTAATCAGTGTAATAACTCCAGGCATCTGGGGAGAGAACCGATGGACATGACGGAGAGTCCCCTGAGGCAGCCACGTGGCATCAGTTTCTGAGACAATCTCAACTCCTTTGCCAGCCCACACCTGGTACCACGTCTCAGTTCTGAAAGTGTGGCCATGGACAGGCCTGTCAGCAATGACAGGCATTATCGCCTTGGGACTGACCTTCCCAGGCAGGGAAGCAGAGCTGGTTCCTGGAGCTCCCTGCGTTGGTCAACATTTCCCATTTCCTCGTCTTCCCTTACAATGCAAGTCCTTCAGGAATGGGTACTTGTATTTGTAGGACCTTAAAGAATTTCTGATGCAGTCAGACAGAAATTGGTTTTTACCTTTTTTTTCAGTTTAGGTGGCAATGGAAAGCAATTCTAGGGGGGAAAAATGATTTATGCCAGCCCCAGATGAGGCAAACGAATTTGGGAAGACTTCCTCATTTTACAGAAATAGTCTTCACTTTGTCGGAGATTCATCCTTGGGCTTATTTAAATATGAAGCTCGCCCTGGCCAGTTTGGTTCAGTGGTTGGAGCGTCGGCCTGCAGACTGACAGGTCCCAGGTTTGATTCCAGTCAAGGGCACGTATCTGGATTGCAGGCTCGATCCCCAGCCCCAGTTGGGGTGCATGCAGGAAGCAACCAATCTATGTGTCTCTCTCGCATCCATGTTTCTCTCTTTCTCCCTACTCTCCCTTCCTCCCTTCCGCTCTATCTGAAAGCAATGGGAAAATATCCTTGGGTGAGGATTAATAATAAATAAATAAGTAAATAAGAAGCTCTCCTAGAGCACTTAAGTAGGAGAGAGGGCAGAAAAACTGGAAGTTAACTGTTGAAAGCTGTCACCAGTGGGAGATGAGTCTTACATGAAAATAAAGGCTCTGATTACCGGTGAGTCAGTAAGGGCTGAGGCGTCCATGTAGGAAAACCTGGCCTGGCGCAGACTATTCTAAGGGCAGGTGTATAAAGGCAGGTGCAGTCCTGCTGGCCTGATTAGCCCCCACAAAAGCCCCTGAAGGCACAGACTCCTCACAGCTCCTCACTGTCACGGCTCCTTGTTCAAAACACTCACTGAGTGTCAGATCAACATGTTTATCGGTTAGGTTTGATGTGTGTAAGGAGAACGGTCCATCCGCTCACGACCTAACCTGGCATCGAATCAGAACCTGTTTCTTCTCCCTCCTCTTCCCTCTGGAAGAGGATGGAGGAAGAGAAAGCGAAAGTTTCCCATGCCCAGAGGAAAACCGATGCTACAGAGATGCATTTTTTTTTAAAGAGAGCAAACCGGCCTAATCTGGGAGTTTGATCACCACTGAGAATGTGTTTCTGTTTCATCATTTAGTTTCTTGCTCAGTCTTCCAGCTCAGACCTGTGCAGCAACGTGGCAGGCAGCGCCTTCGTTTCTCAGGCCTTTCCTTGCCCGCCGGGCACTGTTCCTCTTTCAGACCTGGGCTGCTCCATCCAGGGACGCCCCTGCTCCCTGCACCCTCCCTCTGTACCTGCCAAAGGCAGCGGCATTGGGGAGACACTCTCAGGGTGATGCCAGGCTTTCTGAAGGGCACTGTCACCTCCTAGGAGGACTTGTACTTGGTGGTGTCTCTGAGGAGCCCTGGGACATAACCAGTTGGGCACGGGTTCAGTTGGGAGGGAGGGAGCACAGACTGTTGATGCCTATCTAAAGCAGCCTGGAGAAGGGCGGGTCTGTGTCTCCAACTGGTTTGGGGGTGGGACAGTGGCGCTGGGAACTTTTGCACCAGGAATTCTTTAGATGTTGTAATGGTTTCCCCAAGATCCCTTTATCTTAAAGTTTTCGCCGTCAACCAGCATACACAGGATTGGATTTCTCTTTTGTCCTGGTTGTGTCATCAGAAGCCCAGGACAACCCATGAGAATGACAAACCGGAGAGTCAAGCTCACATGGGAGGTCAGGCTATTTGGGGCAGATGCCAGAGGCGTGGGCTCTCCGGGGGTGGCTGCAGGTGAAGGACTCAGTGAGTGTTCTGGGGTTTGAGGAGAACACTGCTATGTTATTGTCAGTGAGAAATTCCCTCAAAATAGTCCCTTCTTGGAGAGAAAGGAATGGAACCAAGGGCTTACATCGGAGTATATGTAGTTGCCCTGGTTAGAAGGTTGTCTGTCTGTTTAATTAATAGATAGACCATGGTGTGGGACAGCAAGGTCACGCATAGCCCTGAACGTGAGCAAGGCTAGCCTAGGGCTCTGGAAACGTGGCAACAAAGTGTTCAACTGCAGGCTTGCTCTGTCTTGGTCTCCAGGCTAGCCTGGCTCAGAAAGAGAATAAAATATTGGGGTGACACCCCAAATATTAGTTCTAAAGGACAAACAGACTGGAAAGGGAGAGCGAGCGCCTTCAGATCCAGCCAGAGTGGCCCAGCCCTACATGAATGATGTCACCCATGTGTGCCTCACAGGAGCCCCTGCGGCTGTTTGGGATTTGTTGTCATCTGTGAGACAACACTGCTGACTGCGTGGCTTCCTGCGTTGGACTTATCCTGTCAGCAAGACACTGTTTACATTATTGGTTTGCCAAATTATGCTAAATGTACAATATCTTTTAAGTTCAATTAAGTTAATGTTGAGAAATACTGTAATAGAAAAGGCTAGAACAGCACTACAGCAAACAGTGATTACTGAGATTAGAGTGCTTTGAACTTGAGCACAAGAGAACCTTGTGAATTTGTAGGAATTAACCGGGACAGGTACCCACCTCTTAGAAGAAGCATGCAGGTTCCTAAAGGGAGTAAGCGGTATTAAAGGGAGCAACTAAGGAGGAAAGGAAAGAGATCAAACATCAGAAGACATCTTTGAATAGCAGAAGTTGTAATCTCCCTCTACAAAACACTGGGGGCTGAATTGTTTGGGTCAGTTACCTGGGCAGAAGGGTAAACTGAGGAAGAATTGCATGGAGCGGCCTCTGGAAGAAGTGTTCAGGGATGAGGGTCCAGTGGCAGCCTCTTTGATTTCAGAGGTGAAATAGTTGAATCCCAGACTCTGTGAGATGTGAAGAGTCACTCCAAATTTATAAGCTCATTAAACTCGTATTTTTGACTGTCTACACATATGGCTTTAGGGAAAACATGCTTCTAGCCACGCCTTCTCAAATCACTTAGCTATTTTGTCTTCTAATTTCTCTAGTGAGTATCTCTGTTATTTTCAAAGTTTGGGTAAGTCAGGGCAGGGGGATTTGCATCTTGGTATCCTTTCAAGAGGGGTCAGATTCAGCCTATCTTTTGAATTCAGTCTGAACACACACATACAAAATCACCCATCTGTCTGATTTGCTATGGCCATGGGGCCTAGGTCAGGGTTTTTGAGTCTGTGCTTCTTTTGTTATTGTTAATCCTCACCCAAGGATTTTCCATTAATTTTTAGAGAGAGTGGAAGGGAGGGAGAGAGACAGAGAGAGAGAGAAACATTGATTGGTTGCCTCCCACCCATGCCCAACCAGGGCAGGGGATCAAGCCTGCAACCAAGGTATGTGCTCTTTTTTTTAAATATATTTATATTGATTTCAGAAAGAAAGGGAGAGGGAGAGAGAGAGAAACATCAGTGATGAGAGAGAATCATGGATCGGCTGCCTCCTGCACAACCCCTACTGGGGATTGAGCCCACAACCCAGGCCCGTGCCCTTGTCTGGAATCAAACCTGGGACCCTTCAGTCCCCAGGCCGACGCTCTATCCACTGAGCCAAACCAGCTAGGGTGGGTTTATGCTTCTTTATTGACTTTCTGGCTAGTTCACCTAAAGGCTCCTCCTCCCCATTGTTTTGTTTTTTTTTTTTTAAATTAAAACCAGAAGACTTCTGCCCATTCCTTTTTTCCCTTCCTTAGATGTTGGTAAGATCAAGATCATGGTCATACAGTACTTTGTTGTTGTTGTTGTTGTTTTGTGGGCGCCGGGACGAACGATCACCAGCTGCCCAAGTTCCAAAAAATTATGCTTCTGAAATCTCTTGATGTCGATTCCACATGTAGAGCAATCAAGCTTCTCTACCTATGCCCCTCACGACAGAAGCCCTTTTTTATGGTGTACAGTGCTTTGAATGACTTCAGGAAGAATGCAACCTGACTGGCCATTCCCCTGGGGCAGTTCACAAAGCCCCAGGCCAGGGCTTCCATCATCTGTGGGGAGGCAGCCCAAGAGGACAGAGATGCTGTTGACACAGTGCCCCGTGGCACTATGTTGTTCCTGACCTTGGCATCCACACTCTTATCTCCAGAAGTAGGATAAGCGGTAGTTCAGCCACTTGAGTCTCCTCACGCAAGCCCTCTGTCATCTCCAGCGTGACTTGTCGGGCTGGAACTCTGCAGGTCCAGGAACTAATAAGAGGTAGAATGAAGATTTCTTCCTCTGATGCATGTTTACAAGATGTTTTCAAAGCTGAGGCTGCAGGGAAGCGGTGACCTCTGCTCCCTGGTGTCAGGCGTCAGAATTCTGACCGGAGGGCAGATGGAAGCTCCACCTTCCCGAGACCTCTTGCTCGGGGCAGCCAGTTCCATGCCAGGGATCAGGGAGCATCAGGTGACCAGGAGCCCGTCACCTAGATATTGTTGTGCTAAGTAGGCTGGTGCAGTGGGCAGCAGCTGTTGAAGGACAGCTGTGGCTTGGGCAGGCGGCCTTTTGCACACAGCTCTTCCTGGCTAATGGCTCTTCACTAAGCCTGTGCTATTGGGGGCTGTCAGACTTCACCCTGACGCACCTGGCCTTGAGGGTGGGAAAGGAGTTGGATTTTGGGTGGAAGGATGTTAGGTCTCTGTGCCCAGAGGAGGAACCACTGTGCCCATGAGGATTAGTCACCCACAGGAGAACCTCAAGGACAGAGACATGTTCTAGAGCAGAGGTTCTCAACCTGTGGGTCGCGACCCCTTTGGGGGTCGAACGACCCTTTCACAGGGGTCGCCTAAGACCATCGGAAAACACATATATAATTACATATTGTTTTTGTGATTAATCACTATACTTTAATTATGTTCAATTTGTAACAATGAAATTGGGGTCACCACAACATGAGGAGTTGTATTAAAGGGTCGCGGCATTAGGAAGGTTGAGAACCACTGATCTAGAGGCAATGTAGAGGGAGGGGTTTGCAGAAGGAGACTCCGGGAGTGAGCCCAGAGCCTGGTGGGAGCTCATTAAATCCTTGTTGAGTGAGGAAAGGGAGGGATTGGGAAGGTGGGCAGTGGCCGAGGAGCATGACAGGAGGAGGAGCTTAGTTATGCTAATTATTAGACTAACTACCAGGGACTGTAACATTCATATGGTTGCCCAAGGTGTTCTTAGTAGAAAAAATGTGCTCTCCTGCACTGGAGATGGACAAAGGCTTGGTAAGCAAGTGTTGAAAAGGAGACTCACAGCAAACCTTGCAGCTATACATGGATAGTTTCTATGTTTCCATCACCAGAATTTGTCAGTTTGATGTCAGGTGACTCTTAGTGTTTGGGTGTGTGTGTTTGTCCTATGAGATTGCCTTGTGAGCAATTCTGACTTTTAAGAAAATGGTGGTGAAGTCAACCACCAACAATTCCAGGAGCCCAGGCTCCACCCAGGCCTTGCTCAGGGAAGATGAGGCCCTTCCTCCTGTCATTCCATGTGTGGCACTCCTGTCATCCTTCTACCCGGACACTTCCCCTTCCTCCGGGAGAGCTGGTGTGTGTGTGTGTGTGTGTGTGTGTGTGTGTGTGTGTGTCTGTGTGGGTGTACGGTGAGGGTGGGATTGAGGATAGAGTTGTCTCCTCTGTGATGATGGCCACCAGTCTGAAGGCTTTGAGCTGAGTCAGGGTGAAGCAAGAGTGACACCAAGTGCCAAGAACAGGAGTTTGCCGTGGCATCGGGTGTTTTCTCTCAAATTAGAGGAGAAGAGCGGAGAGAAAGGCTTTGTCTCGGCCCACAGCATTCACCTCAATGAGGGAGTGCCGAGCCTCCGAGGCCGCTTGGCATCCATGATCTGCTCTGTTCATTTGCATGAAGGGATTGGCTCTCTGGGACTCAGATGCAGAACTGGGCTTTGACTCGATTTTTTAAAAATCAAGGTGAAATGTCCTCTTGGCCAGAACATGATGCAGAGACCCAGGTTGCTATTTCTCCCCCATGCTGGTCCTTCAGCTTCCCCTGGAGGAGGAGCCAGACCCAAGCAGGGCGACCCTCCTTGCTGGGGAGAGCTCTCAGGTTACCAAGGCAGGTAGTGAGTGGGTCACCTTTGTATGCAGAGAACAACCCCTTTTCCTTTGTTCAAAAAAACACTGACCCACTTCTCTGTGTTTGTTCTAGAGGCTGCTCCTGGCTCAAGGTCCCTCTGGCCAGAAATCCACCCCATGAAGCCCTGGGCGGGGACTAAGATTCCCATTCCTGTGGAATCGCCCCCTGAGAGGGACCGGGCACTTTTGGGGGCAGAGGATTCTGTGGGCTGCTTGGAGAGGGTCACCCTCCTGCAGGCTGGACCTACATTTACCGCAAGCCCCCAACCGTCTCCCCAGGGGAAGAATACGGCCAAGTTGGTATCTGCCTTCCGGCCAGTTCCTGTTCTCAGCTTGGAGCCTACTTGGCTTCTTCCTTCATGGGAGATAAGGTAGGAATGTTTGTCCAGGTGTCACTGACTATCTCGGGCACAGGAGTGTCTTCAGGGCGTAGTGTCAGAACCGGTCCCCCTGATCTGGGTGTGCTGTAAACAGCAGGTTGATTCAAAGCTGAGAGGCGTTGGGAAACCCCTTGGGCAGGAGATTTCGAAATGAGATTCAGATTAGAAAAAACATAGTTGGGTGAGTTCTAAGGAACGAAGGAGACAGAAAAGGCTCCATCTGGCACTTGGTGGGTAGCGGGGATAGATGATGAGCCTGGGAGGCCTGGAATGGGAGGAAGCAGCTGAGCTGAGCACTGCTCCCCTCCCCACTGCCCACAGGACAGGAGGCCCGCTGCCTGTCCGCCAGGCGAAACCACACCCGGAGCGGAGCGGAGCGCCCAGCTAGGGCATGTCAGCACCAGCTAGCAGCTCCATCAGAGGCTCTGCAGAGAGGGAGGGGCCTGGGCAAAGGAGCAGGGTTGGCAGGAGTATTAGGAGAAAAACTTAGTTACAAAAAGATTTTAAAAGACGTGTTGGATAATTGAGGAAGGGACTGGTGAGGAAACGAGGAATAAAGCTCTGAAAGCCAAAGCCTTGGTGGCCGGGCGCGAAGGGACAGCCCCGCACTGCTGACCAGAGCTGTTCCGCCTGCGCCCTCATCACACAGGCCACTGTGCTCTAGCTCAGGACACCTGCATCGGCTGGCTCCCCGTGGCGGGTGCCTGTGACATGAGGAGCACAGAGGGGGATGCTGGCTGGATCTGGAACCAGCGAGGGGACACGAGGAGAAGGAGAGGGAGACTGAGGAACAAGGGGAGGAAGAAAAGGGAGTAAAGGGCAGGAAAGGTGGAGGAGGAAAAGAAGAGTGAAGATTATGCTTCTCATCTGAGGCGGGTGGCCTTGGAGTGGTGCAGTCAAGAATGAGTCTCCAACATGACCAATACTTAGAAAGCTTGTCACCTCGCCAATAAATCCCTCTCATGTAGTGGCATGAAGACAGTAGTGCTCTTTGGGGACATTGGGGGCCATCCTGCGTGAAAACGGCGAGTGGCGCTGTAAGAAGCAGCCAACCAGTTATGAGCAAGAGGGGCTCATATTCACGAGCGTGCCTGCCACCTCCGCCCAGAAGCCATGACTCCCCCCTCTCGTGCAGAGTGGGGACCCATCGAACCAGAACCACCACCCAGCCTCTCCCCATCTCCTCAGATGGCAAGCTCTGGCATCCTTGGTCCACCCAACCCAGCCCCAAAACATTTTGCCAAAACATCAGTAAACAAGTATAGGTGAATGGGGCCACAGACCTCTGCCTTTTGTACCATTTTCTCCTTCCCAGAGCTCAGCACATGACTAGCCAGGGGTTTCTCATTACAGGCTAAATATTGTTTCCTCAAAGAGTAGTCAGAAGGCCCCCAAACACCTTCCTCTGAACTCACAGTAGGTGTATTTTGTTTTTCTTTTCTATACTATGGACCAGGAAATCCAAGACCTTGCCTGAACACAGGGGAAAATGTGTCCCTCCCTCCAGCACATCCAGAAATCTCTCAGCCAATGCAAACTTGGCCACAGCCGCTGGCCACCTTTCTTGCTAAGGTTGAATCAGAGATGAATGTTATTAACTACAACATCTAATGTTTGGGGCTTTATACCGCACGAAGCAAACAACTGTCATATTTAATTCCCACAGTAATTCTGCATTACTGTATTTCCCTTTATAGACATTGAGTTTCAGAGAAATAAAGCATCTTCCTCAGTGTCAACCGGTAGACCTAGGATTCACTCACATCCTCTGACTCCCAGTCCTCTGCCTTCTATGCAAGGTCATGGGCCCCCTGTCGATTTCAGAGTATCATCAGAGTTGGGATTCCTGGGTCTCCTTCCTTATCCCATCTCTGCACCCCAAGTGACCTTAGACCTCAGCCTTCCTCCCACCTATTCCCATCTCACCCCGACTTGTAAGATTAAGGGGGAGAAGAATTGCCTGGCCGGTGTGGCTCAGTAGTTGAGTGTCAACCTATGAACCAGGAGGTCACAGTTCGAGTCCCAGTCAGGGCACATGCCTGGGTGGCGGGCTTGATCCCCAGTGTGGGGTGTACAGGAGGCAGCTGATCAATGATTCTCTCTCATCATTGATGTTTCCATCTCTCCCTCTCGCTTCCTCTCTGAAATCAATAAAAATATATGTTTTTTAAAGAGGGAGAAGACTCCATTTCTCGGTGAAGACTGTACACATAATACACATGATTCTCACATTTATTCTGCCAAGGACTCTTTCAAAGTCACCAAGGTTTCTTTTCATTACAAAAGCAATGGGGGGAGGGGTTATTGTAGAAAAAAAGTACAAAATATAGACAAAAAAACAGATGAAAATAAAAATCATAATTCTGCCATTGAGTAATAACTTAGTATTCTGAGCATTGTGGAATTTAGTCTTCTTTAACTTTTATGATGTACACATGGGCTTGTGTTTACAAACATGGAAAATGTGCCTACCCATAACAATGTTTGGGACCTGCTTTTGAACTTAATGTATTGTAAACATTTTCCTGTTAGTAAATATTTTTATGACAACATATTTAATGGCTACATAATATTTCTTATTTTACTGGTATTCTAGAGTTAAACATTTTGATTTTTCCTATTTTTTCATTATTATAATGTTTTATGATAGATTTCTATATCTTATTTTAAGATATAGAATGAAGTTGAATTTTTTTCATATGATTTTGATCATGTTGAATTTCTTTTATGAATAGGTTCTCCACACTACTTGTCAGGGTGGTTTTTAAAAAAATATATTTTTATTGATTTCAGAGAGGAAGGGAGAGGGAGAGAGAGAAACATCAATGATGAGAGAGAATCATTGATCAGTTGCCCCCTGCACACCCCCTACTGGGGATTGAGCCCACAACCCGGGCATGTGCCCTTGACTGGAATCGAACCCAGGACCCTTCAGGCCGACGCTCTATCCACTGAGCCAAACCAGCTAGGGCTATTTGTCAGTTTTTGTTTGTTTGTTTGTTTTTGTGTGTTTTTTAAAAATATATATTTTTATTGATTTCAGAGAGGAAGGGAGAGGGAGAGAGAGAAACATCAATGATGAGAGAGAATCATTGATCAGTTGCCCCCTGCACACCCCCTACTGGGGATTGAGCCCACAACCCGGGCATGTGCCCTTGACTGGAATCGAACCCAGGACCCTTCAGGCCGACGCTCTATCCACTGAGCCAAACCAGCTAGGGCTATTTGTCAGTTTTTAATGGTATATTTTATTCTTATTGATATGTAAGAACTCTTTATATTAAGGCTAAAAATTTACCTGCCAAAACCTCATTTGGACATCACATTTTAATGCACCACGTTGAATTTGGATACATATTGATTCTCCCTGACTCTCCCACCGAGACCTCGAATGCTTTGCTCTTTTCCCTCTTCTTGCACTTTAACAAATTCCCCCCAAACAAAGCAGACTCAGGAGAGGGCTCTGCCTCAGGGCTCACCCTCAGAGCACCTGGGCCTCCTAAGGGCAGCTCCCATCCCTTCTGTCCTGACCTCCAGGACCTCCTCTCCTCCCCTTACACCTGAGGCTGCCAGGGCTGGGGTCGGGGATGATGGTGGCCCTAGAGGTTCCTGCTCACGGCTGAGACATGAATGTCTAGAACTCCTGGGAGATCGTGGGAGAGAGGGGGGTGGGTATTAGCATTAGAGGAGACTCATCTTGTTGGGGTGGGGAAAGCCTGCCAGGTCTGTCATGGCAGGAATGTAGAGAACCCCACTCTCCAAGGGCCCCTCTTCCAAGCAAGGCCCTAATGGCCGGGGCTCTGGCATGGCGGTGGCAGCCAGCCTGCCCTCCTCTTCCCAGGCGGGTCCGCTCCTTTGCCCTGTTATTACCGCTGGCAGGTTCGTGTGTGCCTCTGGCGAAGGGGACACAAGTTCTACCAGTTCTCCTGGGTTCCTTCAGCAGCTCGCCCGCTGCGCTGCGTGTGGGGAGAGGGAGGCGCCTGGGCCTGTTACCTGGAGTCCCCCTCAGAGGCGGGGGAGGCGGAGAGGGGCCGGCTGGAGCCGGCTGGACTGGATGGGCCTAGGTGGTGAGGACAGGATGAGTTTCTTAGCGAGATCACTACCTTGGAAAACTGGGACTGTGGGGAGGAGGTCAGGTACACGCGGAGGCGGATGCTGGGAGTTCCTGCCGGAGCTCCTATGGGTTTGGAACGTCCTGACCCACTCCTGGTCCCTCTCGCCCTTCCTCCGGTTTAACAGGAATATTTAAGACAGCGGGAACAGCACACCTGGCATTTCTGGGGCAGGAGCTAGACCCCCAGCTCTTGGGCCCTTGCTCCCCACCGCCCCCCCAATGGCTTTTCCCCTACAGTTGGGCTTAGGTCCTTCCAGAACTCTCGCCTCTTGTGTTTCTTGGGAAGACAGTGTGATGGCTACAGAGAGCCAGTCCGGGCATCTGCTGCCGGGTGGCCGTGGGGGCTTTGGCAGGTGGTTGGTCTCCTAGGCTCCTCTTTCCTGCCTGGAGAGACAGTGATGGGGACGGTGCAGGAGCCAGGCAGATGGTGCACGTGTGGGGCGCCCCCCTGCCAGGGTTTCTCCCCCCTTTCCCGCTTCTCAGCTCTGTTGACATGGGTGACATTTGGGGGCTTCAGAGATGGCTGCTCAAGGGTGGGCCCCTTCCTGCTGTCCTCAGTTCTCACCCGCTGCTGCTCCTGTCCCTTCACACACACACACACAGCTCCTGTCCCTTCACACACACACACACCCCGCCCTGACTGGCCATGCCCATTTCCCCCAGGAAGGTGAACTCAGGAGCTCGGCCCGGGCCTCGTTCAGCTGTGTTCCCTGCCTCAGCACCGCGCTTGGCACAGAGCAGGTGCTCAGTGTCAGTAAATGAAGAACCGAAAGGAAAGGGTCCCCCCGTTCCAGTCATTGCTAATTTGAAAGTCAAGAGCCCCAGTTGAGTCCAGCAGCCCAAGGCCAGAGGCTGGCTCCCTATCCCCTGACCTTGAGCCAGGCACTGCGTCTCCCCAGCCTCAACTTCTCTGTCTAAAAATAGGAACAGTAATGACTACCTCCCAGGGTGGTTGTGGGGGTTCGCGATGATGTCAGAGAGAAGCCCAGGATGATGCTGGCAGCGTGTATAGGAGCTCCATAAACGGAAGGGGTGATTAGCTGCTGTTCTAGGACTGTTTACCTACGTGCCCAAAGCCAGATGCTTGCCCCAAGCACTCGGGGGTTAGCAGGGCCCGTGGCCCTGCATCTCGGCGCCCCGGGAGCCTCTTGGTGTGGTCTCTACCCAGTACATGGCCCCTCTGCTCTGGGCGATGAGACCTCTGCTGCGGTGCTTGCGGGCAGGGTGGCCAGCAGCTTGGACAGAGCAGCTGAGCGGTGGCCCTCGTGGCTCCGCCTGGGGCAGCTCGGCCAGGTCTCCTCTCGGTGGTGTTGGGGCGGGTTAGCTGCCCCTCAGGTCTGGAGTCGGAGGTGGGGGCTCCCGTTTGACATTGAGGCCGGGTGTGTAGTGCCACCAGCTCAGCCCGCACATCGCTGAGCAGTTTTAGGCGCCTGATTTGTGTTTCTGCTTGGAAGGCCGGTCAGGGAGAAGTAGTACTCCACCGTTTTATGTGGAGAGAGCAGGTGAGGAACAGGGAACCACTCACGCCATACCCAGCTCTTACATTCAGGACGCAGACCTGGCGGCTCGCTCAGTGCACCGCCCCTTCCCAGGACCAGACTCTCCACACCTGACTCCGCCTCCCCTCCAGCGCGGCCCTGCAGTGCTGTGGGGCCTGAGCCCCCCCCCCACCCCCTCTCATGTCAGCGAGTCTGCTGCCCAGGAGGAGAGCTGCCAGGCAAGGAGGGCGATCTCAGGGGCACTGAGAGGAGTGGCTGGATGCTTACAGGAAGGGACTCTAAGCTGGGCGCATTGGCTTGGGGTTGGGAGCTAGAGTTTCAAAACAGACTCTAGAAACATGGGAGGGGGCTGGCGTGAGGAAAGGAGGAGGGCGGGTTGTCTGGGACATGAAGAGTCGGGGACATCCTGGGTCAGGCGGCTGCCGTCACCTGAGGGAGTGGACTGGTCTTGGGAGGCCCCAGAGGACGGGCCAGAGCCGGTGGCAGTGAGAGGGGAGCCCCTGCCCACTGCGCGTCCACATCCTCATCACCCCAAGCCGGAGGATGGAACAGCCTCCCAACTGGTGTCACTCTAGCTGGTGGCTTCCTCTCCATTTCATTCTGTTCTCTGGCTCTGCTTCCCGGGGAATGGCGATTAGGCCTGGAAGTCCTGACCCCTGCGCTTTGGCCCGTCCTTGTAGAATCTTGTGGGTGGAAAGAGCCTTGGAGATCGTCGTCGGCCTTCAGCCCCGTGACCCAGTCCCTCTGGAGGTTCCTAACAAATGGCCCCCCAGCCTGGCCAGCAACCCTACGGTGACCGTGCCCGGGCTCCTGCCCCCAGCAGCCACCCTGTGGTTACGCTGTGTGAGGGAGTCTGTTCCCCCAACCCCCCTTCTGGCCCAGGGTCTGCCACTGGAACTGCCGGAATAAGCGGATAAGCCGTTTCCCTCTGCCAGCAGCCATGTTCCCACTCTGAGCAGCTTCTCAGCCTTAGAGCCGCCTCACTCCACTGCAGTTTGTCAGTTTCCTGGAGGCTTTTATGGAAATGGGGGCCTAGCAACAAAGTCTTTATAACAGAAAGGGCCTTTAAAAATATTTCTTTTTCATTGGTTTCAGAGAGGAAGGGAGAGGGAGAGAGAGATAGAAACATCAGTGATGGAAGAGAACCATTGATTGGCTGCCTCCTGCATGCCCCACACTGGGAATCCAGCCTGCAACCCAGGCATGTGCCCTGACCTGGAATGGAACCGTGATCTCCTGGTTCATGGGTCGAGGCTCAACCACTGAACCATGCCGGCCGGGCAGAAAGGGACTTTTGAACGTAGGAACTCACCTTATTTTATAGATGAGAAAACTGAGAGGTTTGGTCACTTGCCGAAGGCCACACAGACAGCATGAGGCAGGGCTGGGCCTCAACCGGTCTCTGCTCTTCCCCTGCCACCCACTGACTGCTGCCTAGCCCAGGGCGGGGAGGTGGTCTTGGTTGCCACATCTCTGTTATTGTCAAAGATCACATTAGCTTTTCGGGAGGCAGCCCCATCTCCCTGTTGACGTGTTGAATTTCAAGTCTACTAGCACCCTAAATTGTTTTATAACTTTATTTTCTTCTCATTGTAAAAATAATATATGCCATTGTAGAAAAAAATTAGACATGAAAAATATAAAGTAGAAACCTTTATAGCACTTCCTGTTGTAAAGTTTTCCCACCTTGCACTTGTTGCCGTGTTTTTCGGTGTGAGAATAGAAGAACTCTGCCTTCCTCCTCATATGACCCTCTTGCTAGGTCCCAGTCAGCTCTCCTGTCTCTCAGAATCTTGTTTTGTTACCAGTTCTTATTGGCACCCGGGCAGGGCTCAAAAAACACCCGTGCTGTGGCTGACGGACCGAATGGTGCAAGCATCCAGATTGTCGGTGGAAATACAGACATACCTCGTTTTATTGTGACCTGCTTTATTGCCCCTCATAGATGTTATGGATTTTGTTGTTGTTTTTAATTAATTAATTAATTCATTCATTCATTTTAAATATATTTGTATTGATTTCAGAGAGGAAGGGAGAGGTAGAGAGAGATAGAAACATCAATGATGTGGAGAATCATTGAGTAGCTGCCTCCTGCACACCTCCTACTGGGGATTTAGCCCGCAACCTGGGCATGTGCCCTTGACTGGAATCGAACCCGGGACCCGTCAATCCACAGGCCAACACTCTATTCACTGGGCAAAACCGGCCAGGCCCTGACCCTAAAACACCTTCCCTTTTCTTTTGTTCTGTTCAGATCCTCCCATTTTCCCAGACCAGCTGGATCCCACCTCTTCCAAGAAGTCTTTATTCTTTCAGATACAAAGACTCTTTTGGGTTCCAGAGCATCTGTAGTGCAGCCATACCATTTGTCCTTAGTTATAGAATGATTTGCACTAATCATTTCCCTCTCCTGTCTGGGCCTAGTTCTGTCAGCGAGGGACCCGTATCGCTCTTGTTTCCCTCATGGTATCCATCCTACGAAGTCTGGAGATCATGATGAGCCCCCAAATGATCTGGCTGGAAAAAAAAGTGACTGGCCCGAGCCTGCTAGGGAAGGTGTCCAAGCCTTGAGCTCTGAGGAATGGGAGAGAGTAGAGCTGAGGGAGCCCCAGGACCCTCCCCACACCCCATCCCTGGCTTCCTGGAAGCCTGTCTGTCCTCAGCTCCTCCTCCAGTTTACATAGCGGTTAATCATCTGGGCTCCAACAATGGGCTCTGCTCCCCGTGGGACCTGTGAAAAGGAGATTTGGTTGGTCTTTCACATGGGGGCCCTTGAGATAAGAGCGATCCTCTGTGCCTAGCTATTTAAAGAGACACAGGAGGGTTAGTGGCCCTTTCCAATCCTCGGGGCTTCTCACAGGGAGCCTTGGAGGTCAGATCAACGTTTTCCTTCGTCCTCACAGCACCAGAGCACTGACCCTTCCCGCGCCTCCCGGAGCATCACGCCAGGGGCCCAGCCTGGCAGCTCCCCTCCCCTCCTCGTCCACCTGGCGGGGCGTGACGGGAGAATACCGACCTGGGACTCGGAGACGATCCTGGGTCGGTGATGGGAGGACCAGGTCATCTCTAGATTTGCTGTTACTTTGCATTTCCTTGAGGTGCCACGAGGTCTCCTGGTCTCTACATAGCAGTGTGCACAGTGCTTGCAGGCATAGACCTGAGCCGGTCTGGTTTGTGTCCAGCTCCATTACTGGTTAGTCGGAGACTGTGAGCCAGCCACCTGACTTCTCTCTGCCGGGTGGCGACAACCTCCTGCCTCAGAGGGCGGCTGGAAGGTCCAGTGAGCTGATGCGTACAACACACGAGTGTGCCTGGCACAGACTCCATCGCGGTGTCTGACCCGGAAGTGACATGAACTGTGTGCCCTATTATTTGGGAATGTGGCTCTTCCTCCTGTGGTCCTGGCAGGCGGTTGGGAACAGACGCCAGACTGGACCCGAGTGGTTGTACCTGCCCAGTGGGAAGCCTTGTATCAGGATGTGGGAGCATCAGGCAGGCAGAGAGCCCTGGGCGAGGCCCCGCCAGTCTGGGGTCTGCAGGTACTGACTGCGAGACCAGAGGCAGGCCACCCAATCTGTCTGGGTCAGGCCTTGTCTGAACCCACTGGTAACCGTAAGAGGATAAAGCTTTTAATAGAATGCATCAATTGTTTTGATTAATTTCCTGCAAGTGGAAATAGGCCTATAAGACAAATAACAACAAAAAACAAAACAAAAAAACACAGAAAAAAGTTTCTTTTATTTTAATAACTGGAGAGAAAGTTATAAAATAGACAACACAGAGCCTTGTGACTCCCTCAGATTGGCAAGGAACACGGGGATACAGACATGTAAACAAACAGAGCTTCCAGACGTTATTTTGTCCTATAGAACTTCCAGAACACAGCAGCGCCCACGCTCTGCAGGCAAGTAAAGCAAGTCTCCATGCAGAGGGCAGCGAGGGGCTCCTTGCCCTCAGCCGGGCTGTGCGATGCTGCTCTTCCTGGGCACGTCTTCAGGGGTGGCCAGCGGCTGTGTTCTGTGGGCCACTTTTAAGTGTGCCTTCTCGCTCTTCTTCAACCCCTGCCCAGCTCTCCCCTCTGACCCACGCCCCGTTCCTGTTATTAGCAGGAAACCTGACAAGCTAAGGAGCCTGGCGAGTCCCTCAGTTGGAGCCACTGGCTCGAGACCCAGCCTTGCTACTTGAAAAACAGAAAAAAGGCTACAAATATAACTTATTAGCCATCTAATACTGTCCTCCCGCTACAGGTTTCTGATGTGTCTGGTTATAATTCTGTCCCAACTTTTGGCTCTTGTTCTCAGGTTTTTGACTCAACCAGGAAAAGAGCAGGCCTTGTGGCCTGGCCTGGACTCTTCTGTGCTTCAGGCCACAGCTCTGGGCCTCTCAAAGATTCTCCCCACCTGGCTCACCCGTGAAGCTAGACCCAGACAAGCCCTCGACCTCCAAAACCGTGAGCTGTTACGCACAAGTCTGTTATCTGATCAGAAGGCCCTTGGTCGGCCCAGGCTGCCTGGAAGCAGTGGGAGGGAGGCAGAGCTGTGGGAGGGAAGAGCAGATGGGATGTGCTGTCCTGGTGGCAGGGGACCAGACAAGGCCGAGGAAGGACACAGGTAGCAGGAAGCTTGGGGCGTCAGGGTAGCCACCCCAGAACCACGGCACGGAGCACGTGAAATGTCCAGGATAAATAGAACCTCAGGGGAGAGAGATAAGCCAGCTCCATCCTCTCTTAAAAATAGTCGCCATCAGCACCAAAAATATATTAATATCTATACATTTGTCATCTTTTAAAAAAAGGGAATAAAACCTCCTTGGCACCTTGTCATTGATTTTTTAAAATGAGGTGATATGTGGAAAGGCCTCCCGTGTGTGCAGGCGCGCACATCTTCAGCGGCGCACGCGCCCCGCAGAGGGCAGAGCCCTGCAGCCCTGGGCATCAGAAGCACTGCCAGGCAGGTCATCGCCAAGCCCACGGCCGTCTCTCACAGGGTGCTTTTTGCCAGTGCTCCTGGCCCTGCCACCCACGGGGGACCAGCAGCCCCCACCCTGTGCTCCAGAGGCAGAAAGGTCACAGGACCACCCTCCTCCGGGAAAGAGTTCCTGGCTCTGCAGGTGTGCTGCTTCCTCAAAGGCAGTCCTGGCCTGGCCCCTGCCCGTCTGCCCATAATACAGGCTTGGATCAGCCTCCGCCCAAAATACAAAAAGGCCGATATGAGCAGAGGTCAGTGCGGGGCTGAGTGAGCACACATCCTGGGGCTTCAGTCCCGATCACCAGTGTTCCAGCAGGAGGCTGCAGGAGGTGGACTGGCCAGGCTGCAGGGTGGTGGCCCTTCCTGGGCCGGACGGCGCACTCAGAGGTGGTGGTTGCTCTGCAGCAGGGAGTTGACGGTGTTCTGCAAGGCCACGGCCACCTTCTTGGAGGTCTTGCGTAGCAGCGGGCTGTCAGGGTGGTGCTCCTTCAGGTGCAGGATGTGGCCCTCCTGGCTCTCGGACGTGCAGCCGCACTCCTCGCACACGTACAGCTTGGCCCGCCGCTCCTTGTATGCGTACTTCTGCTGCACGCCATGGATCTTCTTGAGATGAGACTCCAGGGAGCAGCGCTGTGTGAAGGCCTTGTCACACAGGCTGCATTTGTAGGGCCTCACGCCTGCGAGGAGGACAGGGCTGGGCGTCAGGGACCTGACAGCAGCTTCCCGGGCACAGAAAGGCCCGGCCACCTAACTCTGGGGAAGAGGAAGGGACGGAGGCCTGTGCATCTCCAGCTCCCCGAGGGCCCAAACTGCTGAGCTGAGGACGGCTTCTCCCTGAGCTCCGGTGCCCCTCCCAGCCCCCCACCCCCAGGCAGCAGGCCTGCCGAGTGTCCCACGTGGCCTCAGGCAGGCGCCAACCACGGGGCTCCTCTCACCAGTGTGGGTGCGGACGTGTCTCTTCAGGTCGAAGGTGTCATTGAAACCCTTCCCACAGTAGGTGCAGAGGTGCCTCTTGACGTCGTTGTGACACTTCATGTGGCGATTCAGCATGCGCTGGTAGGTGAAGGCCTTGTGGCAGATGTGGCAGGTGAAGAGGTCTCCACTGGGGCTGTCCCCCAGCGTCACCTGTGGGCAAGGACAGTCTTTGTGACAGATACCCAGCAGTTAGGACTGCAGGTTGGCAGATTGGCAGGACACAAATGCCAGCCCCCAGACCCCCTGAGGAAAGTGACACCACCCGAGGCCACACCTCTGTGCTGCTGGCTCACAGAGATCAGTGGTGACCAGAAAGAATCTCTGAGTCAACGTCAGCCTCCTGTGAGCTTCCCAAGTCCTCTTTCAAGGTTGCCAGCCAGCCCCTTCTTTTCTGGAGACGGGCAGGGAACTCCCTATATAGACAGCCCATTCATCCTCAGCGATTCTACCTGCTAGAACGTTCTCCCCTTCGCTGAGCCCAAATCTTTCCCTGTCGTATCTGCTCTCCGTCCACATTCTATGCCTTGGGACAGGGAAGAATGTCCACAACACTGTCTCCTGCACAGCCTTTCCCGGCGGAGACACCGCTGGGAGCCTGGGCCCCTCCAGGGGAGCCCTGCCCCTGGTTTTACTTGAGCCAGACCTGACATGATACGGTCTGAGTCCCTTTGCTACCTGATGACTTGCTTGCTTATAAGCATTTTTCGTTTTGTTTTTTTGTAATTGTGGAAAATCTCAAATCTATCCTAAGTGGAGATGTGGCCGCAACGCCCCACCTGTTACTGTTCTGAGGCTGCCTGTACTTGGTGGGTGGCCGTCGCTGGCAACTCCTCCTGAGCTCCCTGTGCACTGGGTGCACCTGTCACCCCGCACCTCGTCCTCTGTGCCCTGGCCCCGGGTAAATGCTCCTTATTGCCAGCTAGTCAAGACCAGGATTTGCCCTAGCCAGTTTGGCTCAGTGGATAGAGCATCGGCCTGCAGACTGAAGGGTCCAGGGTTCGATTCCAGTCAAGGGCACATGCCCGTTGCAGGCTCGATTCCCAGGCAGCCAATCAATGATTCTCTCTCATCTTTGATGTTTCTGTCTCTCTCTCCCTGTCCCTTCCTCTCTGAATCGATAAAAATATATTAAAAGAAAAAAAAAAGACCAGGACTCATTCCAGCACCTGCTCTCCGGTGCCCTCTGCTTTCTCTGCATCCCTCCCTCCCTACTGGGGCCCCGGGCTGGGAGGAAGGGGGTGTGGGGATCAGGGGCGCCGCCGGTGCTGGCTCTCTGGCCAGCCCAGCGCATCTGGGTGGTTCCCCTTTCATTACAACACACACTTGGCCTCCGCAGGAAACAGAGGAAAGAGCAGGACCCACTGCCAGCTTCTCCAGCCTTTTGGCACATGGACGGCGCTTCAAGAACGCTTCCACTGGATCCGCGCTGCGGGCGCCTCCCGGCCGGGAGCTTTCAGGAAGGCAGGCCCGGCCAGGGCAGCCTGCGCAGGTGCGCTCCTCGAAAGCCTGGGGCACGTACCGCTCCCACTGCTGAGCACAGCGGGGCACCCACCAGGCCTGCCCTAGGCCCAAGGCCTCGAGTGGCACTGGGTGAGGCAGAGACTGTCGAGCACGTGCCTCAGCAGATAGCCAACCACCAGGCCGACTCCAGACCTCACTCGCATGGCTGCCCGGATGGGGCCCCAGGAGGTGCTGAGCCGGCCTCACGTCTCCCTGATTTTCCTAGGACTTCGGTGTGAACAGGCTCCCCTTGAGGCCAGAAATAAAACTAAACCCCCAGAATGGACTCCCAAGGCTTAAATGTCCTTTGAACCCCTCTGCTGCTTCCCCGCATGACAGCCTCACTTTAGAGCCACTTTTCATCTCTTCCAGCCCCTGTCTCTGCCCAGCGCAGGGTCACCTCTGCAGAAACCTGGACCCAGACCTCAGGCCGGTCTCCACTTAGGTCTCATTTGTGCCACATCTCCTGGGCTGTTCCTCAGAGACAGTGTGAGGTCAGTACCTTCATCTTGGTGCGCAAGAAGCCGTGGTCTCTGCTCTGGGGGTCCGCCAGGCGGCCCATGTCTTCGGAGGGCAGCTGGGCCACCACGCAGGGTCCAGAGGCCACGCTGTAGCCGGAGTCTCGAAGGCTCATGTCCAAAGCGAGGGGGCAAGAAGGGGGCTCAGCCACCGATGGCTCTGGCTCCGGGCAGGGCTGTGGCGGATAGAAGCCCAGGCTGACTGCAGAGAGAAGAATGGCCAGGTGAGGGGCTTGGTGGAGAAAAGGGGGTTCAGTGGGATTTCAGGAAGGCTCCCTGGCACTTAGCTAGCTGGAACCTGGAGCCTCCATCCCACCCCTGGCAGGCATGTGGCCGAGCAGGGCTACCCCCAGCCCACTACACACTGCACCTCCCTCCTGCCCCATTAAGGTAATTACAGGTGACGCCAGCCAAGCGCCTCGACCCACAGGCCTGCCCGCTGAGTAATTTGTGTCTTAGCGGAACTGGGAGGACCAAACCTGCCCTGCCAATTATCCCTCCGGAGCAGTCTGCCTGCCCCACCTGGGCCAGTCCCTCTGGATTCCAGGCCTCATCCATGCTCCTGGAGGCCTGCGCTCAGGGACTCATCCCTGCCCCGGAAGAGTTCCTGGTGGCCTGAGCCACCCTGGGCCTCTCCTCTAGGCAATTTAGCTGCAGGCTTTAGGGATTGGGTGCTCCTAGCCCCTTCCTCCTCCGATTGGCCAGTCCCCGCCGTTGTAGCCCAGTAGGGCTCCAGGGACCCCCCTCCCACTGGCCCAGCTTGGCAGGCAAACAGGCCAGGTGGGGTGGAGCAGGGAGGAGGTCAGGGAGCAGCAGGTGGATGCTGCGTAACAGTCTCCTGGGCACCTGCCCAGCTGTTACGCAACCCTCCCCCACAGCAGGGACCGCTCGCTGTACAGTGAGGCTGGGCTCCCGCCCTCCTGGGCACCACCGCCCTCCTCGGCACCGATACCTGGCAGCCTTTGACATGACCGCTCCCCACGACAGACACCTCACACTGAACGGGGCCGGGGAGGCTTGGCCCTGGTCCCCACTAGGGAGGAGGAAGAGTTCTGAGTGACACAGGAAACAAGCCTCAGAGCTGGCAGCTGGGGCAAGCAATCTAATGTTTCAGTTTAGTCAAGAATTTTCTTCCAAAAAGGCAAAGCTCTGTACTTAAAACCCACACGTGAGGAGCATTTTCCAAGCCACAGAAGGAAAAACCCAGAGGGGCCAAGAAAGAAAGGACGAGTGAGCTTCAGGGAGAGGGACTTAGGTTGAGTTGGGGTGTCAGGCCCATGACAAGGCCCACTGCCCACAGCTGGTGAGACAGAGGGACCCAGGCAGGAGGGCTGCTGCCCTCACCGCCTCTCCAGGCCACTGCGCCGAGGCCCAGGTGGACAGACGACGTGGGGGGAGGCAGAGGAACGTACGGATGGAGGGTGAATGTGAGACACCGAAGTTTCGGGAGAGGCCCCGGCTCTCGCCCCCTCAAAACACAACAAAGGTCTGACAGAGGAAGAATGCGCGGCCTGCCGCCCAAACCCGTTCTGCTGGCACTGGCGTCCGTCTGTCCGGGGGACTTTAATGAGCCACCTCATTCCGGGAGTTGATTCACCAGTGCCTGGCCCTGGCCTGGCCCCTGAGATGGCGTGGCACCTCCCCAGGCCCTGGAAGGCTGGCCAGCAAGCCCAAGCCCGGGGGTTGGGGTGGGGGGACACGACTCCTGTCTTGCTGCAAGGGCAGCTGTCTATATACACGGGCTGGGGGGGCCAGGGGCGTGTCTGAATGTTGGCGGTTTAGCAGCTATTACAGATCTTGGCCAAGAATTCAAAGCTGAATGACTATTTCCATTTCTCAGTCCAGGTAATGGAACCTCTACCCTCTCCTGTCTTTCGGTGTCGGAGAGCGTGAGTGAGGCTCCGGAGAGTGGGAGCCGCGCCGCACGCGCACATGGAGCCACAGAGGGAGGAGGGACAGCAGGTGAGGCAGCTGGTGTGGCTCGCGGTTCCCTCTCTAATAGATGGGCTCATGGGTAGTGTTCCAAGGATCCACGCGAGTTTGGGAGGGACCCTGTGCCTGCCTCTCCCATTACACAGAAACCTTGGAATGCGGGCGCTAAGGAACTGGGGACGTGTGCGCCCACCCGGCCTGGCCTCCTTGCTCCTCTAGCTCCACGGAGGGGGAGCCTCATGGCTGCCAGGGTGGGGATGTTTGCCTCGTCCTAGCCACCTGCCAAACCTGTCTTCCTGCCACCCCCACGAGCGTGTCCCTGATGCTGCCGCACGCACAGGGAGTGCTCATCGGCGTGCCGCTCCTGTCACTGGGTGTCACTGAGTGTCACCGAGTGGCAGGAGGCAGGAAGCAGAACTGGTTGGGCCTGCCTTGTGCACCTCTGTCCCCTAATTAGATGTTTCCGGCAAGGCGGTGGCCGCTGTGGCTATTCATTGCCCGCCCACAGCTGTGGCGTGTGGCAAGGCCAAGGCCAAACCAGCCTGGCCCTCTCCTCACTCCCTCAGGGGGTTTGCGGGTTCCCCTTCTGTTGCCCAACTTGCCTCCACCTGCACGACATTGAGGGCAGAGGCCCAGAGCAGCCGCCCATCTGAGGGCCTTCCCCCTCCCTCACCCTCAGCTAGTCCTGTCTTTCTTGGATTGAAAACTACTGGGCCCTTCCTGGCCGGTGTGGCTCAGTTGGTTGAAGTGTCGTCCCATATACCAGAAGGTTGCGGGTTCGATCCCCGGTTGGGGCACATATGGAAGGCAACCAATCGAGGTGCCCTCTCACATCAATGTTTCTCTCCCTCCCCTTCATCCCCCGTCTCTAAAATCAATAAGCATATCCTCAGGTGAGGATTAAATCTTTTTTGTAAAGCTATTGGGCCAAATACTGGACAGAGTGCCAGGTCCTGCTCCGTCTAAGGCCTCAGGCCAGGGCTGGGCACGAGGTCTGGTCTCAGCTCTCTGGGGAGAGAGAGCAAGTGAAGCAGATGCGAGGATGCACAGCCTCTGACCCTGGGGCTGGTGCTGACCTGGGGGGTGGGGGTCCACTGAGCTCTGAATGGGGTGGGGGGAACCCACTGCGTCAGTACATCCCAGGTTGGTGTTAGGCCGCCTGACACCCTTATCAGCAAGGGCAGGGGTCTTGTGCCCATCTCCTCCAGCCCCAGCAGGTCAGCGAGCAATGCCCGAAAGAAAGCCAGTGCCAGCCAACTGGCAGAGGCCGCAGCCCCGGAAACATAATGGGTCTGTCCCTCAGCCTGGTGCTTCCATTCTGTGAACGCCAAGTTTCTCTCTCAGGCAGTGTCTTTTCCCCGCTCCCCACCCACTTTTCATATCACGTCTGTAATGAAGTTGAAACTGTGCACTCAGCCCTCACACTAGGTCAGGGGTCCTCAAACTACGGCCCGCGGGCCACATGCAAATACAAATATTGTATTTGTTCCCGTTTTGTTTTTTTACTTCAAAATAAGATATGTGCAGTGTGCATAGGAATTTGTTCATAGTTTTTTTTTAAACTATAGTCCGGCCCTCCAACGGTCTGAGGGACAGTGAACTGGCCCCCTGTTTAAAAAGTTTGAGGACCCCTGCACTAGGTGGACAGCCCCGTTTGCATCCTTCCTACCCTCCCGTTCAGCACAGGGCTGGGCATCCTGCAGGATCCGCACAAGACTTGTTGGAAGTGAACAGCGTTAAAAAGAAACCCTGATATCAACAAAACCCATGCTTCGCTCCTGTCCTCCCTGTGCCCAGAGGACTTGCCCTCACAGCTCTCCTGCTGGGACAAATGGTCTGGCAGGATTCTGCCTTGGGTCATCCAAGCTAGGGACAAACAGGTTGGCAGCCGGGTGACGGCCCCCCCCGGGACAGGTAGGAGTCCCATTTAGCCCCCTGCCCAGCCCCAAGTTGCTCTTCTGTCCCCATCCACTGTCTGGCTGTCTACTCTCCCAGCCTTGCTCCCTGGAGAGCTTGGTGACAAGTCGTTCACTGCCAACACTTCCCAGGAATCACAAGAGTAATCATCACCAGCCCCACGAGGGTAGCTCAGTTGGTTAGAGTTAGAGCATTGTCCCGATATGTCAAGGTTGTAGGTTCGATCCCCATTCAGGGCACATACAAGAATCAACCGATGAATGCATAAGTAAGTGGAACAACATCTCCCCCCCCCCCCCTCAAATCAATACATTTAAAAAACATCATCATCATCATCATCATGATCACCAGAGGCCTAATCTCTCCCCACCCCCACACGTGTATTCTGGGACCCAAAGCTGACTTTCGTGGCCTTCAGGGCCAGGTGAGGAAACACCAGTCTCCTGCACAGTAGCCTGTCTGCCTCCTCGGGGTGGGCATGTGCTGAGGAACTGGCAGAACAGGCAGCAGGGGCTCGAAGCAGAGGAGGGGGTGGTTGGGGGCCTGCAAGAGGCCCTGGGATGCCCATGTCATTCCAGCTTCCCGGGTCCATCTACCTTCAAGAGCCTTTCTGGCCTCGCGAGATTGAGGGAGATTGAGGTTGCACTTAAGGCCTTGGAGGACTTGCTCGGTGGGAGCTTCCCCTTCAGACCATGAAATGGAATTCAGCCCCTGGGTACAATGGGTGGGGGCATCCTCAAGAAACCAGCATTACTCCCAGCACTGTAGTCAACACTGACATAACAAAGGAGGAAGCCAGGGGAGACCAGGGGGAGAGGGGAGTGAAGGGCACCGCGGTAGCATCTTAACCTTAACTGCAAACCCTTTCACCGCCCAGCGGTGTGCAGCCATCTCCCACCCCCGTGGCCCCCAGCCACTCCTGGGCTTGTCCTTGGCTTTGGGAGGAGAATGAGGCCCAAGGGAAAGGTTCAGCCCTGGGGATGTGTGTTGGGGGATCCTCTTGAACTGTGCCTCAGGGCGAGAGCCTGGAGTGCTGGTGGGACTGGGCCCAGGGCCTTCAGTCAGTACAAGTACAACTCCTTCCGCGCTCTCTGGTGTTTAAGGGTCTCAGAGGGCCCTGGCGGGAAGGTCAGACCTCAAACACTTCCCTGTTCCCAGCCCCTGCAGTGCCTCTCAGGGGGATGGATGGGGTCAATGCTTAACTGGTCACAACGTGCCCGGTCTGTGAGGTGGGGTGACGGAAACGTGCCCAGCCGGCTCCTGGTGGGGTCACAGTCGACTGGTGATGGATGGCCCAGCCAGGGGACAGGCCAGCCATCTGAGGCACCCGAGCGTGGCCCGAGAACATTCCATTTCTCATTTCCAAAAACTGGGGAAACTCTCCAGTGCGCCACAGGGCTTTTGAGACAAAATTAAGTTCTTTAACTTCTACCCTTTACTTGACTCCACAGGCTTCTCCCTGGCCAGAGCGGTGAGGACACATCTCACACGCACCTCCATCCTGCAGAGCGAGTGGCCGGCCGGCCTCCCTCACCTGGATCACAGCGGCAGGTGACAGACGCCCAGAAGCCCTCCTCTGCACCCGATGGGACAGCCCTGGGCTGGAGGTCCCCTCAGCCACCCACCGTGGCCGCCAGAACTGCGGGGAAAATCACCAGGCCAAAGGAAGTCAATGATTTCAGCAAACGGAATTTCTTTGTCCTTTGTAAAAGTCAACACATGATCTGTTCCTGATTGGGATGTGAAATAAAACTAAAAATAACAGCACAGCGAGTCTCCTGCAAGGCTCTCAGCTCACCTTTACCACAGTCCAAGTTCAGTTATCAGATCCCAGGGAGCAGCTAAGCAGCAAGTCAAACACAGGTGAGGGAGGAGGCGGGCGGGAGGAAGCTCGGCCCGCACCCGCACGGCCCTGCTGGCCCTGGAACCCCCGCAAGAAACTGTAAACAGCCCGGGCGCCGCTAGTCCGCCTCGGGGAGGAGGCAGCTCACTCCCCTCCGTGTCCGTTTCCCACCGGAGCCCCGGTGGACGGAGGCCACGCACGGGGTCTCGGGCTGGAGAGAAGGCCGCGCTGGGACACATCCCGCCAGCGCCGCGGGCCTTTGGACCCCGGTGGGTCGGCCACGCAGGTAACCACAGCGCCTTTTCCAGAAACGTATTCGGGAGAGAAACTGAGGCAAGAGCCCGCACAGGGCCCCCACCGCCCTCATTTCTCCACTTTTCTCCAAGGCCTGGGGCGGTGCCAGGGAGCCCGCGGATCAAGGGTCAAAGTCGGTTGGTTAATTACAACCGCTCCCCCCTTGGAGGCGCTGGACGGGTGCTTGGCACATCCCGCCCCGCCCCCAGGCCCGGGGAGGGGGCGTCCGAGGAGCGGGGTTTCTCCAGGGGGGTTTGCTGGGGGAGGAGGAGGGGGAGGGGGAGGGGGCGGGGAGGGGGCGTCCGAGGAGCGGGCTTTCTCCAGGGGGGAGGAGGAGGGGGAGGGGACGGGGAGGGGGCGGCCCCCGGGAGCAGAAGGTTCTGGGGCTGAGAGAGGAAGAGGCCGCCGCGGGAGAAGCAACGCAGGTTACTCATTCCGAGTGGCCTCCGACGCCGCGGTCCAGGCGTTTCCCAAAAATAAACGGGGCGCACCGCCTCCCGGGGCCTGGTCCCCTGGCGGGGGGGTGGCCTCCTTAACACCACTCCCAGCTCAACTGTGCCCGCTGCCAGGTGGGAGCAGGCGTTTGTCGCGGAGGTGGGCCCTGGTCCCCCTTTGTCTCCAGGGCCAGTGGGGTGCCCCCGCCGCCGGCCCTCAGCGCGGCGACCTCCCGGCCCGCCGTGCAGGTGGGGAGCGGAGAGGCCGGTGCAGGCGGCTCACACTCGGTCTTCTCTCACGTTTCGCACAAATCTCAGCCGAAACTCCAGCTCGCTCCCTGCCCCCCAAAGTGGCATCGCTCCAGTGCCCTCTTCCCGCCTCATAAAAGTCCCGACTTTCCGGATTTACGACGCGGGAGCGGAGGGTCGCCTGAGCGGTGACACACCCGGTTGCCTCCCCTGCGCCGCGGCTCGGGCCGGTGGAGGGAGGGGGTCGCCGCTCGGAGGCGAGCGCCTCTGACCCGCCCGCTCCCGCCCGGCGCGGGGCCTGGGAACTGCTCCCCCTCGTCGGGCGGCCCCGCACCCCGCCCCCACCCGGCCGCTCCTTCCGCTGCCCCTGCCCTCCCCTCCCCCCCGGGCCGCGGGCTAACGGGGCTGCGGCCGCTGGAACATGAAATCGGGCGCCCCGACTCCGCCGGCCGCCGGGCTCGCGCCACCGCGCCCCGCGCGTCCGCCGTCCCGACGGGGCCCCGGGCTGGAGGGCGGCGGGGCCTCGGGGCCGGGCCAGGCCTCACCTGGCACGTAGATCTCGCCGCGCTCCTCGTCCGGGAGTTCACTCCAGTTCCTCTTGCACGTGGAGACGCACGGCTTCTTCACGAGAAACGCGCGCGGCATTTTCGAACCCTGCTCGCCCGACACCGTCCGCTTCCGTCACCAAAGCCGGCGCCGTCCACCGTCCGCCGTCCGGGCCGGGCTGGAGGCGGCTGGGGAAGGAGGCAGGTCCGCGGAGAAGTCGCCGAAGAGCCCCGCGTTCCGCCGAGAGACCGTGGCCGGACGCCGCGCCCGTTCCCAGCTCCTCCGAACGAGGTCGCCTGCAGCCAGGTGC